GTAACTGGAATCAAACGGGTCATTAACGTTGATCATAATGTGATTTCTTGCCATTGATTGAATATTTCGGAGGGAGTCTTGAATTGGATAAAGGAGCGAGAAATAAGTTCTATTGGTGTTGGTAGGAAATAAGGATTAGTAATAGAATGGCATTGTATTAGTATCGTGGGGGAAGAATCTAGTTGTCATGAGCCCTCCGAATTCGCCTTGCTTGTATCTACAGGTTCTAATTACAGACTGTACTTAGAGATTCTATCTGATGTAATTACTCCTTTATAAATCAAGATCTCCAAACGTTCATAAATTATATCGTATTTCATGACTATATTATCCACTATTACATTATTGTACATTATTTTACTTCTTTACTTATCTCGTGACGTATTATCTACTTATCAATTGCATGCATCTACATACATTTGCATACCTTATCCTACATTCGTTAACAATCCTGTGTTATCTTGGCACGCTTGTATTTGTTGCACTCCCGACTCGGCTTAGTCGGCTAAATATTGAATTCAGGTGATTTCTAGTTACATATATATATTAGAGTCCTGCAATAACCCTAAAAGTTCATATTTAAATGGTTCATAATGAATTTAGCATTTTATGATAACTCTAGCATTTATTATAATTCACCATACATATTCGCTTCTTCTAAAGTACTAGAAAATTATAGAGGTTTGTGTTTTTGATGACAATTCATTTATACTATTGTCTGGAAGGTTTCATGACTAGATTAACGAGTTTGACATTATGATATCATCACAAATTCAAAGTTTGTGACATAACTTCCCTATTAATTTTACCCCCAAATTTGTATATTGATTGCCATTTCTTTATCATTATTTACAGAAAAATGACGTAACATTTATAACATTATACTTTTTACTGTGTAACATTATAATAGCTTGTAATTAAGTAATGATTATATATTATATTATACTTTGTCGATCATTACGACATTTTATGGAATTAGCTCATACCAATATTTTACAGTTTGCATAATAGCTAATTAGAGCCTAATAGATAGGATAAATAGAGGGTTATAGAACACTAATAGGAGAGATATTAGTTGGTTAATAAGTTAGAGCAGTCAATATTGTTGGAGGATTCTTGTGTACCGGGTACACTTTGGGAAGATACTTACTTGTATCAGTTACATTTTTCAGCATTTTTCTTGTCTTGTGCATTATAATAAATAATTGGCTTCTTACTTTTAATGCTTACGACCAGTAGTTAAATTGGCAGTGCACTAGTAAAGTCTCCCCCTAGTCGTAACAATAGATAACGTTCATTTCCATTTTTATATAAGTCATTAACGTTAAATGTTGATCAATATCGAGGTGGAAACTTGTATATGTATATACTGTTACCCGCCATTAACAGATGACTGTCCCTTTTGTTTATATTACTGTATTAAACAGCACGCTAACCGGATCCTATCATTACTCGACATCATTTTCACGACAAGTTAGCCCACATTAGGTTAAGTTCCGATCAATTTTTTTCGTGATAGAGATCACGTGCAGCAGTAAAGGGTAAAAGTTCATTGATTTTGAGATAGCACGTCAACGCCCTAGGTATCACTCAAACGTGCAGGCAGCACGTCAACAAGTTCTATAATTGATCCAAGTGTATTGTAAACATCGTATGGGATAATAATACCAAGTTTAACTCCGATGGTTGACGTAAGAGAAGATGTGAGAACTTGATGAAAATAAGGGAACTCGTATTTCATGATCATTAGGCATTTATTATAGAAAAGAATGTATTATTTGTGTATTCTTTATTAAGAGACGATTTCCGAGAGCATACATTAGATGTTGAACTAAATGCGAGAACAACCCTTTATATACTGTTGTGGGCCAAATGAACAACCCACACACCAAAAAAAAAGCGTCGATCAAGGCTTACTCAACGGGTTAGAGGCGGAATCGACTTGGCACGGTCTAAGGCTAAAATTGAGTATTATACAACTAGGGTGATTTGACAATCTTTAAAGAGCGTTATAGTTTATTAACACGAAGGGTTTTTTTATTTATTATGTAGGGGCAATTGTACACGGTCAAGTACTTAATCGATGAATTAACTAATTCATTGATTAATTAATGCTTTTACAAAAGAGATTCGACCTCTTTTTTATAACAAATTTACAGGTCAAGAAGAGAACAAATTCGAAAATTCTAATTAATTCCCATCATTTTTTTCATTATACCGCCATTGGACTTTAGCCATACAACTCTTTTTAGTCTAATTTCCTACTCCTTGCACACAGCCATTTCATTGAAACGTTCGACGGAATGGAAAAAGAAGGCAAGTCAAATGAAGGCTTCTACGCCGTCATCGTTCTTTACCCGTGATTCCATTGATTCATTTATTAACGCATTCACATTCTTTCTTTCTTTCATGGCCACACACTTTACCCGACAAGGTAATATTACCTTGACAGCTGTCATACCGAATCGGGTAAGTGTCTTTTCCTCAATGAGATCGTTGATGGGGCTTAGCTTATGCATTTTCACGAGATCGTAATTCGGGTTCTTAGAATTCCGGGCAGTGTGGTACGACAGTTCTTTTGCGTAACGTTCGTGCATCGGTTCCACGTTACTTACCAAGGGCTTAAGATCACGGTTCTGCCCATGACAATACTTTCTCATTTCTCATGATATCTATGCTAAGATTATAATATCTACACTACTAATTCTGCTTCATACATACTTTCCCACAGGCAACTTATTTTATGTAGCAACGTATCCGTGCTAATGGGTGACGTGCAAAATCCTGATGTTCACAATCTCGATGGTACATAATCCCGGCAGACAAAATCCAGAAATATTAAAATCTTGAAATGCTAAAATCCCGAAAATACAAAATCTCGACAGCTCAAAATCTTGAAAGTACAAATTTCTGATAATGAAGCATTATAAATTTAAATGCAAAAATGCAAAATATTTGGGTTAGTAGTTAGGAGTTTGCTTATTTTTTTCGAGATTTGGTATTTTTGGGATTTTGTATTTTCGGGATTTTTGTATTTCAAGATTTTAGAATTTGTCTGTCAGAATTATATATTTTCGGGATAGTGTGAATCGGGATAGTGTGTATCAGGATTTCGTACCAAAGCCCGTGCCAATTGTACCTAGAGAAAATTCACATGCACATGCATTAAGGCACTTGAAATACATAATAATGCCTAATACTATAAAGGTAAGATTAACATGGCTATGGCGATACAATTGTGAAAACTTAATGAATTAGACATATACGGAAGTGAGAGACACGGGAAAAATATTCGTTACATTATATAAGTGCAAGTTTTAAATGTAATAAAGGCAAAGATTCCCTTCGATTTTACTCTGTAATAATAAAGGAAGTAAGTTTATTAAGTAAAAATTAAAAAAACTTATCTCTCAGTCGCAAAAGTTTAGATCTTCCCGTAACTACCGTATTAGAGATAAATCGGTCTACTCAATCCGAATAATGTTACACTACGAGAAAAGTCAATTTAGGAGAAAATGGTTTCTTTTATAATATAAGTATAGAGAAATCTATAATAGTTATTAAATTTTTGAATTGTTATAAAAAAATGCATGAGATACGAAAGATTAATTTTACAACGTTATTTGTTTTTTTAAAATTTAAAGTCCTGTAGTTTAGTGAATAATAAAATATTGATTTATGAAGAAATATGAAACAATCGAAATATTTTTTTATCATTAAATAATTTTCGAAAATTTACTTTTGAAACGTAATGAAGTTTAATTGAATATTTATTTATTTAAGAAATATAAAATAATCGAAATACAGTACTATATTTTTTAAAAGTTTGTTTATGAAACATATTGTGGTTCTACTCATTTAAACCATGCATTTGAATATCGCATAAGTAAGTATAAAAAACTTTTTATTGATTTTAGACAGGTAATAAATATATTTATGAAAAGCTAACACATCTGGATCATAAAAATTACTGTTTCATATTGGTAAGAAATTTTGTTTCAACTCATAATAAAATAGATTAGATATTCAGGCGTTTTTTAAAATCAATCTTTCATTTTGTACTATATAATTAATTCATTTTCTGTAAAGGTTAAATGCAATTAAATTATACCCAACACTGATACATAATTTTATAATAAACATTTCTCAATAAAAGTTTATGCGGAATTTTTTAACAATAGTACATTTCTATAAAATGTAAATGCTAAAGAGGATTTACGATTATAACGATAACACTAAAAAAGCATCACGACATTTGAGGAAGTCAGTCCAACCAGTTTTAGTCGACTAGTCCGGTTTTTTGAAAATTCAACCGACTTAGTCGGCTAATACTAAGTTGGCTAAGTCGACTAGGATCAAATCGACTAATATTCCTATATACAAACATTAGTTTTCATATTTAGGTCCAACCAGGAAATTTTAATCCATGTGATTTGCTTACTCACAATTCAAAAAATTTAATACAGTCGAACCTCTCTAAGTGCATCCTCCATAAGTGCACATCATCTCTAACTGTACGCTCAAGTGCTGGTCCAAATATATACTTAACTTCTATAAATGCACGTTTTCATATTATTCTTTATATGCACGTTATTAAAGCGTGGTCCCAAGGGCGTGCACTTAGAGAGGTCTGACTGTAGTTAATAATTACACTTCACTTTATAAAATTTTATTAATAAACATCATATGATAATTAATATATCATGATTATATATATTTTAAGTAAAGATCTCTTTTAGTGTAGGTGATCTCATTGATAAAATATCGAAAAGTTACCTTTTGCAGCACATCGGATACGGCTCGAAATTTCGGGAAAAGACATTACGTGAAATTATGCAGAAACATCAAGATGACAAAGATAAAGCAATCTAGGATTTGAGAAATGAAGATTCAAATAATGAAAAATTATAAAAAGGATGTATTGTAGTTTTTGCGATTAAATCAAATTCAAACAATTGATGCATTTTGATTTAATAAACTCCAATAATTTTATGTCCATTATGATGAAACAAATCTATCTTATAACATTTATATTTGTCATATTTATTTATAGTTTTCATTCTCAATGGGTTCCAAGTGATTTTGATACTATTATTGATGAGTGTCAAAGGGTTTCTGAGTATCTTATAACGGGGACAGACTATCTTAATTATTCAGATATGAAAGCTTGCTATGATTCAATTCCATTTAATAAAACCAAGGCAGTTCAGGTACTGGTGTTTAGTTGTTTTTTAAGTAAAAATTTGGTAAAATTTGTTACTAAAAAGCTTTTATAATTCGTTTATCAGACAATCGAGACAGTAAAAGAACTTTTAAAAGGATTCTATGCATTCTTAGATCAAGCGAAGGAAGAACCAAAACCAGGATATACATTTACGCCTATTGATTTAATAACAGAATTAGATTTGCTTTTAAATAAAGATTATTCATATGAATATGAATTTGTGGTAAATAAAAATAAATTGAATTATAAATTATTTCAAATATATGACCGTTATGAATTATTTGAATTATTTCAATTATATTAGTATGATATTGGAGATCTCATCGGTGAATTGAGAGATGGCCACACTACGTAAGCTATTCATTATTAGAACAAATATAACATATATCTCCTTATGATATGTCTTACAATATGTCTTATTATATGTCTATAATAGGTTCACTTCTACAAAATTTTCATATTCTTTTTATCAAGGATTTTCTATGTATTCTGTTATTAGACCAGATGGATCACAGGTAAACTTTCGCATAACTGATAATGTGCTAATCTAAAATTTTGCGTGTGACTTACTTAAATACGTACATACGTACGTACGTACATATATACTGTATATGTTTACGTGATGAATAATTAATTTTTAGCAAATCAAGGTTTTTGATGACACAATAGATCCAAACACTATTGATTGTCAAGTTACACATATAGATGATAAACCCGCGATTGACGTAATTACTGAATTCGCTCGTAATAACATAAGTAATTCAAGGGATTTAAATGTTCGTTTCAATACAGCTCTTGCATCTCTTGCTTTTGGAAATATGGACTTTCTTGTATACGGACAATTATTCTCACTTAGACAAAAATTACCTACTGATCCAACTATTTCTTATACGCTCAATTGCAATGATAAAATTTTTAACATTACTAGAGAGTGGATAGTTCCAGTTTATGGGAGTAAAGAGTTTTATCCGATATTTACAAAATACAAGTCATCATATATTAATGAAACTTCAGTTGGCAACGCATCTTTAATCTTTGATGCAATTTTCTCTAGATTTTATACATTACAAGATTTTGGTGTGGTCTTGTTTTCAACTGAAGACACTACAGGTTTGAATACTGATGAAGTCATCCGTTTCTTGACCGATATGATCGTTGGATTTAAATTATTAGCTGATAAAGGTATAACCAAGGTAAATGGTTTTTATAAAATACTATATTATCATTTATTCATAAATATACAATTTATCATTCATTTATGAATCTACTTATATTATATAGATAGTTCTTGATTTCAGCAATAATAGTGGTGGGGATGTCATTGTTGCAGATTATATCATTAAAGTTTTATTTCCTAATATAAATATTTTTCCTGAAGATATAAAAGTTACAGACGCATCTACGGCTTTTATAGAAGAAATTTCAAATGCAAATGTTGTTGGCGATTTATTTAATTATAGATCATATACTTCAACAATTAAAAATAATCCATTTGATAGTATCAATGAATTTATTGGAAACAACAGATATACACGCGGTGGTGCACAAGTTAAATTTACAACAAAAGCATTTAGAAATGACTCATTAGATTTTCAAATTCTTCCGGTTCCTCCAAAATTTCCATGGACTCAGGAAAATATGGTTATTTTAACAAATGGTGCTTGTTTTTCATCATGTGCAAATATAGTTCAGCGATTAGCTGAAGTTAGTGTTCCAACTGTATCTGTTGGTGGTTTTCCAAATACTAGATTTTCTTTTGCAAGTTGTTCTGGTGGAACAGTGAAGGATAGTAATATTATTAGCACTTATCTAAATCTTTATCAAAATCTTAGTAATTTAGCTTCTAGGTCAATTCTTTCTCAAGATTTATTTTTAACCTTTACTTGTGCTGAAGTATACAGCCTTAATAATCCCGATGAAGTTATGGAGTTTTCCTTTAGACAAGCAGATTACCAATTATATTATAATGAGCAAAGCGCTAGAGATCCAAGTAGTTTATGGTTACAGGCGGAACAATACATTAAGAAACGTTAAACAATCCTAGATATAGTGATCATGTTTTCAAATACATGGCTTACTTTCATTCGGATAAATTATGATAAAAACTCTAAGCGGTACAATACTGTATCTAAGAACTTGTGATTTCAATGATAACAAAAAGTTTAAGTAATAAAATTTCCCAAAACACTAAATAGTCACTTTACAATGTGTCATTCTAGAGGCTTGTTGTTGATCAAACAATCAAAAATGTTCTATACAGTATTATGGAACATCAGAAACCTGTTTTCATTTTCGTATTAAATTTAGGGGAATTTACAAATAAGAGCCCGGAAAGTGAAAATAATTACAAATACGGGCCCAAATTACAAATAATTTCTTATAAGGGTCTAATTTTTAAAAATATTACATTTAAGTGCCCAAAATATTGCATTTAAGCCTGTGGCTTGATCGTTGTTAGCATGAGAAAATGTAAGCTTCGATAAATGTAGTTATTAAGTGCATAAAAAATGTAATGATCGATTGTAAATTAGTAATTATAAACTAGCTCTCTAACCCGGGCGCTGCTCCGGGGACACGTTCTCAATTTTTTTAGTTTTTAATTATTTCTAATTTTCGTTATTTAATTTATTAGTATTTAAATCTTGCAAGTTTTTAGAATATTTAAGTTTTTTAGCTCTCTGACCCGGGTGCTGCTCCGGGGCGCGTTCTCAATTTTTTTTTAGTTTTTAATGATTTCTAATTTTCGTTATTTAAATCTTATATATATTTAAAATAATAGTTTTTTTAGTTTTCTAGCTCTCCAACCCGTGCGCTGCTCCAGTGGCACGTCGTGAAAGGGTAGATCGTTGCTTGTAATAGGTTTTTGTATATTTGGTGGATCGAATGCATATTTAGCTTAGCCAAGTTGGCGCATTTTGTACATTTTGAACATATGGCACATATGGCACATATGGAACATATGGCACATATTCCACATAGCTAACATAGTGAACATGTTCCACATAGTCAACATAGTGAACATAGTAAACATGTTCCACATAGTCAACTTAGCGAACATAGTGCTTATGTTTTAATAATTGTAAAAAGGTATAAAATACCCACCTTTACACTCTAATAAAGATTAACTCAGTGAGTACAAAAGTATATTAAGAATAAAGATAATCCTTGAGTCCCAAAACCTTCGAAATTAGAGTAGAAGTGTTGGATTCTAATCTTCTGATAAATAAATTCTGCATTGATGGAAGGAATTCATGACCAAATACTGTGACTCTGTGTAAAGAAATTTGTGATGTAATCAAGAGCTCTAATCTGACACTATTGCTAAGAACCCAATCATCCTGGTTACTCGGACCAAGTCTATTCATGCCTCAATCATTGCCTTACAATATTAGGGTTTGGTTGTATTAGTTTTGTGCTCTGGTTAGAGTAGTTTAGTTAGTTTTAGTATTGTATAGTAGTGTGTATTGGTGTCATTCAAAACCCTAGGATTATTTCGCCTTTCTCATTTGGTGGTGACTGTGAGATTGAACTTCTCTAATTACCTCATTTATGACCTTTATTCCAACCTAAATTAAATTAAAAAACCCTACATTTTTAACTATTAAATTATAAAACAAATCAAACCAATCAACTAGCATGAAGGATCTATACCCTTATGAAAAAAAATATACTGAAATTATCTTGAATTAATACTTAAAATTTTCTGTATAAAATTCTGTATACAAATATAC